GCCATACAACTCAGATGCCACTCTCGAAATGTGAGTCGAAAAAATAAAGAATGATCAAAAACACGACCAAAGTACTAAAATTACGAAAGAAACAAATGAATACAGACATATATTCGAGAAGAGGAACGAACTCATCAAAAAATACAAACGAGGAAAAAGTTGAATTCGCGTGTGCGAATCGGGATCACCAATTTGTAGGACTATTTAATACTAGTCCGAGACGGTGCGCGAAATTAAACGCGGATATCAGAAGGCAATTGGAGTCGGACACAGCGGACTGTATTCGATGGGCTACAAGAAGACGCGGACGGATGAAACGAGACAAGAGCGAACACGTGAGCGCGGGAACTTACAAGGCGGTCGAGTGTCGAGACGGTTGTAAGGAAGATTAAAACAAGAAGGAATTATGTACAATCGGTCAACAATTAAATTGTACATGAAAGATAGCCGTTACCTTGTTGGGCGCTGCAGTGTGTAAAGAAAATGGCGAATTTCACGTATGATATTGATCTAGGACAATATGACCCAGAAGTAGTTTTACGAGCGCAATGAGAGGCGCTCGAAGTATACTTTTGTAACGTCAGCAAGCTTAGACGCGACCTGTCTTGAACAACGGACCCCAAGTGTTCCCATGGTTGTAAGTTCCATGGTTCGAGCTACAGCTGTAAAACTGGTAATCGTCCGATTGGAAAAGAGCGTAATCAGAATTTGGCAAACGTAGTAGCATATCGTGGGGGTGGGTAGGGTTGCTGTGTCTTGCGGAAAGTATACGCGAGTGTAAGACTTCGAAAAAGGGGCACAAAACGCCGTCACATCAAGGAACTTGTGAGACGAGCTTAGGATGCAGGGTTTTCGACACTAGCAGTCTCACTTGCTAGGCTTCCGTGGAAAATAAGTGTGCACGAATGGTGGATGATCAATACCGTGGCGCGAAATCCTATCAATAGGTCCTTCCGTTCTGCGAACACAAGTCTGCGTTGTTAAACTGGGTGTAAGTTGCACTCTCCTGTTGAAAGCACCGAGAACCCGCATTCACCACTCGAGTATCTTAGAAGCCACCTTGTCCAAACATTTGTAATTCACTATACCGCTAACTGATGTTTCACTTCAAAGTTGCTCACACCCAGAACGAAATGTCTGATGATCATACTGTCAACCTTTCCGTGATATTTCAGGACACAGTTGCACCTCGTTCACGCTGATAAGAGCGACTAGGTTTTACTCTTCTTTTCTGGGTCAATGGTTATGTCATCCACGAGACCGCTCTCCTAAGTTCAGTCAGAAGAATTTGGATGGTTCTCCATCTTAGAGATTTTCTATCCGTTGTCCCTTCCTGGATCATAAAACACCAACCCTAAAAACGCATCTTACTACCGTACAGTGATGCTTCCCATCAGGTGAAAACGTGAATCTGGAGAGTTTCACTGTTCCATTGTTGACCACCTTTGTTTGAGCCAACTGCTCCTCTCGGCCCGCTTCCGACGCTTATTTGTGAATGTTTAAACTTTATCCAAAAAGACATTACGCTGGTGCTCCTTCAGTTAAACTTATTATGGGAACACTTCTGTAAACGTTGATTTTATCCATCTGGCCATCTGTGCTCCGCCCCGTGCGGTTGGCGAGTTTTCCGGTGAGTAAGCCATTATATGACCTCCTTATATAATCGGCGAGCATTTGTATCACAGAGTAACCGAATTCGGAGCGCACTCAGGTCTGAGATTACAACATTGCTGTTCCGGTGTCTGAGAACCTCTGCATGGTTTGCTTCATCTGTTATTCAGCAGCCTTCATTTTGTTTTTCACTGTCTTCTTAGGGCACATGACAAATGGAAATTCTCCTCAGAATGTAACAAACCCTTAATGGTTTGGTTACCCTACGTTGTAGAACTTCAAGTGCATTTATATCGTATTTGCGCCAGGTACACCTGGCTTGGATGACGTTCCCCTCAATGCCTCGGGTGTGCCTTCGACATTCAGAAAATATAGAAGACTCGAAATTCCCGAACGCTGTCCGAAGGGGAATAAGGTGCTGACGGGCTCTTCCTGATGCTTTTCCGCCGTGTTTCAAGCACCAGGATCATCCCGCAAAATAAATCCGAGATCGCTTTTCCGTGTAGTAGGTTCTGCCAGTCGATATTCGTGATTACCCTAATGGTGTGCGCTCAGAACACTGTAGTTCGCCAAGTTAAATTGAAGCCAACTCTCGGCTGACCACGTATAGGCCCTGTCTATATCACTCTGCAGTGCCGTGCGCTCGTCCACTGACCTGAGGTTATGCCAGTTCTTGACATCGTTTAAAATTAGTAGGACATCCGACTGCAGTGCACTAGGAAGATCGTTGATGAGCACTAGAAACAAACGTGGTCCCATTACCCATCTTGGGGTACATCACACGGAACTTCAAGATGCTCCGAAATAGCGCTGCGGACTCGCAAGCCTAAATTTCGCAACATGATGAGGGCGCCTATCCAACCCTAGACAAGGCCACCGACTGCATAGCATCTTAGTTCGTGAAAAAGCAGTGCGTATTCCAGGCATACGATGCTAATTTATGCTCTGACATCGACTGATTCCATCCAGGTTGCACGGCCTAGCAACAAGTTCGTAGTGCGTAACTGATTTTGGCGTAATCCGTATTGCTGTGACACTGTAATGTTGTTATTCTTAAGGTATCTTATGAATGCCTCCGCTGTAGTACATTCCATAAGTTTGGATAGCACCGGGAGGTGATGGATTAGACGGCAGTTCCGGAGCCCCGCAGGACTGCCACTCCTTCAAACAGGAGTAGCTACTCCATGCTTACATATTGTGGAAACCTGACTTTCGTTCAGTCAACCTCGAAAGGAGCGAGGAAAAGGTTCTGCAGTGTCTATAGCGGTGGACGTTACTACCTTCGGACCTCTGTCGTACACAGGACGGGAGTTGTGGACGCGCGAGGATGATGGTCTTTTCATCAGATTTGTTGCAGGCAAGAATACTTGACTTAACAGGTCAATGTGAGCTGTGTTACAGACGGATGCGATTACGAGTCACTTTGGAAAGTGCTGTTGAACTGTTGTAGAAGCCCTTTAGTTGCCTACTTCGTAGTTGACGCCAGACCATCTGCCAGACTATGCGTAGAACTGAGGTTCTGCGCGGCACTCTGGGAAGCTTATTGATGGATCTGTGGAGCGTTTTATGATTAGTGTTGAAATTTGTAGCTAAATAATGTTAGTGTTTGGGTTTGTCTCCGCCGAGTGGTTTGGCTCAGTGGTTTCGTTATGTAGACTTCCCAGTCGTACGTGTTCGGACCAGCCTGAATTCCTTAAAGCCATACATTGCGATTCCGGCTCCTCAGAGAGGACCTCGTTTGTTTCGGGTGAAAGGCTCTGGTATCCAATGCATTTGCAACTAGCCAATGAACTAGGTGACAAACTCCATCCAGGTGATATAAAAGGCTGTTCGACCGGGAATTACTAGTTGGTTGCTTGAACAAGGGCATACAGGATGTCGCAATGAGTGACGATGTAGACTGTCGCTGTATCTGCTGCTGAATTCCGAGTAGCAGATGTAACGGAAGAGCGTCGTCGCATGATCACTGCTACCAAGCAGTGTGTCTATGTTTACGAGATCCATCATTAGTTTCTCGTTTGGGAGCACGACATCTAAAACTGATGGTCCCTCACCGGTCCTATATCGCGTGGGAGAGAGGGTACACCGAAGTTTACTTTTTGTGCTTCTGCCTTGAAATTTCTCTGAGGAAACTGAGGTATCGATACTGTACAACTGAAACTATCCCACAACATAGAGGTGACTGCATGGCATGCCAGCGACCACTTAGTAGAATAAGCCAGGCTATGCTCCATTTTTAAGATAAACCTTGGAGGGCGGTAAAATGTTGCTTCTGAAGATATCCAGATAAATTCATTCTCAAATATTTGAAAGAACACAAGATAAATCCACCGAGGATGAACGTGCCCAAGAAAGAACTAATTGTGTATATTCCTTTCAAAGGCGACAGTGCGGCTGATGCCCTGTCCAAACGCCTGAAAGACGCTGTTGAAAAGACCTATTTCGCGGCTCGTCTACGCATAGTATTTTACAACAAGCCTATATTTGCAAAACCTTTGAAAGATAGGCTGCCTCCGGTGACTCGATCAATGCTTGCTTGTCTTTACTCGTGCTCCTGTGGTGCACGATACGTGAGTCGTACCACGAGGCACCTATCTCATAGGATTCGCGAACATATCCCAAAATGGTTTTACAAAGGCGAAGCGAGGTCCAGTAACAGTTCCATTTTATCTCACCTTCTAGAGTGCAGTCACACAGGGACGGAAAATGATTTTAGAGTCATCTATACTGTTCCTAAACGTTTCTCGCGCGGATTCCGGAAGCATCTCCTGTTTATTGCAGAAGCTATCTACATCCGCCACCTCAAGCCAGAATTGTGCGTACAAAAACAGTTTGTACGTCCTTTACTTCTACCGTGGCCTACAACTTCGGCTGTGATTTCCCCTGTACATGCCACTTTCAATGAACCCGTGATTCATTGATTTGTTTCTGTTGAAATTAAACATTCTGTTCAATACGCAGCCCAATCCGGCATATTTAGCACTTTCTTATCATCATGTAACGTTTGAGTCTGATGAGAATTACCGAAAAGAATTCTTTACTCAGATTCTGCCTCCCTTGATTCATACCGCTACGATTCAGATGCAGACATTATGAAAGCGGATTGATATCTTGATTTTCTGTGTGCTCAATGGCATCGATATGTAGGTAATACAAAAGTACTCCGCCTCCAATACTGGGTCGCCTGTTTCTGAATTTTCAACTTAAGCCATTAAGTTCCAAATCAACTGAGACCCGTAACGAATCTGTTCCATTTAAATCATGCTCATTATCAACAAACAGATTTGATCAGACATAAGATTCTTTGTTCCTACCAACTGGCGTTCTGTGATAGATAACCAAAATGAAGTAAACAACCGACTTCATTGCACCTTTTTCATCTCTTGCAGTTTGACGACAGCAGTAAGGCCGAAGTATGGAATGACATCTTGCAAAACAGCATCCTTGGCTCAGGTCTGGTGGTCAAGGCCACTTTGTGCAATCGTGCAACACGCAAGATATATGCTTATGGGCCTGATGACTTCACTCCTTCTATGGAACAGTTGGACGTCCTGTTGGATATGTTGCACGTAAGCATGTTGTTATCAAAGCTTGCCTTACTGGTACAAATATTTTACATATTTTAATCTATCAAATGGCTTGATAACTGTGACAACAGTAGAAGCTGTCAGTTCGGCAGCATTTCGCCCATGCCCTCGGTTGAAAATGTAAACACACTTGACACCAACTCAAAGTTTCGTCCAACTCAACAATACATCAGATGGAAGTATGCCTCAAGATCCGATTTGAGCCTGTAGTATATGAGCTGTGGTAAACCCGGGTTCTTGCTCACCCGGAACCCTATCGTGAAGCGAGATTGCACGCGACTCATGCTCGTGTTTATGATACGCAGTAGTCGGGGGGTTAAGGTAGCATATCGCTTGATTCATTTACCTTTTGTTTGGGTTGGTACCTTTCGGGATCATCCACTTTTAGATTTCCACCTTAGCCAATCACCGGGTAACATAAATGGGTTCATTCCCACCCACTTCATGAGAACGTTGTTAGCGGTATAAAAACATGGGCTTCTGTAGCTGGTCTGGTGTGCGGAACGAGTTTCCATGCCTAACGTCACTTTGATAAACTGTGACCACGTTTCCGTCGTATGCATGGGCAGATTGGTATGTAGTTGTCCACCATCGGCAGTTGGATTACTTTCAATTATCAGACACACACCATTCCCTCACCGAAACCGTAAATTTAGGGACTTGATACTTGCACAAAGCGATTATTTCGGTTTGACATAAGAGCATGACTGCAGGTTCTTGGGGGAATTCTGCTAATTGTAAACGGCCAGACGAGAAAGTTACGAACATCTACAGTAGAAGAAGAAAATCTAGCTTTGCTATTTTGTTAATCAAGTAGCAATACCACCACTCGGTTATTTTCAATTCATGTCGGTTTTGTAGATATGATTCGAGGAGCCTAGAGCCATGGAACAGTCTGCGGTGATTTCCTTGGAGTGCATAATAGCAGCTGACGTCTTGAGGTAGTGGAGTTTGCGAGAGGAAGAATACAGCTCTCGCGAGTTGGTCACGATCACAAGCACGGACGGACGATGCCGAATCGGATGCATTTGCCACCAGTGGAGCGTAGCACAGTGACGAAAAGAGGAAGGACACAAATGAGGTTAGCTGAGGATACCGGGTTAGAAGACTGTTGTCATCTGAAGGAATTAGGCTGACGCAGAACGGATGGAGAGTAAGGCAGGACAGCGCCGGCCACGTGATCTGACCGGAATCACACAGTACATGCAGACGGAGAGACAATAACCAGATGCAGCAGGAACGAGATAAGTGAGGCAAACTTTGAACCGAGTTTTCAGACACCTTAGTCTGCATATGAAGAACCTTGTACTTAAAGGCTTATGGTCCTTAATCAGCGATTCCGAGCCACACTCCCATGAGGCTTGCAGTTTCCTCAACCGTCTTCCCAATAAGCTGACAGAACCGAAAAATCGCCAAATCTCGAAGCAGTCCGATATTAGCGGTATCATGAAGACATGACGAACGCAGGAATGACAGACGCTGATGTCCCGCTGCCCAGCACGTCACGCATATGAAAATACAGGCTTACGAAAGAAAGAGGAGTAATTCTTTATAACCGAAGCGACCAACAGTGCGAAGCAGTTAAGAATTCAGACTCAGTCCTCGATTCCATTTGATGACGCCTGCAATTACATGGCAGAGACACCTGCCCTATAACCTTAGCGTACCGTCCCCCAAACTCTAAACCCAGAAAGGGGATACACCTTGCGACAGCATTAAGATTCACTTTAAAGCGAAGACGCACCCACATCCTTTTCATGGGTGATTTCCATGTACCATGTTTAGAAACACTTGTCACGACCGCCGAACAATTCATAGCGGATTTGCAAGACCTCGTTAATAGTGTTCCGCTTTACAACAATGTCACTTCGCCCACTCGATTCAGAACTGACAACAGACCATCTGTGCTGGATCTTGTGTTAACCAAGGAGGAACAGATGATTTGCATGTTGGTCGTAGATTGCTGATTTGGTCGCAGTGACCATGCAATCATTAGTTTCAACTTCCTATACTATGTGCAATATCGAAATAAAAACTATTCGCTGGGGCGCGCTACATAACGCGCTGCGACAGCTTAACGCAGCTCATCAGTACCACAACTTGGTCGTTCCTTGCTGAAGCGCACTCAGAAGTCGCTTGGCTTGAATTCGTCAGCAACTTCAATCAACTGGTTACGGATGCTTCAGAGAAATGGATTTGCAATGGACCTAAAACCGTTTATTTCATGAGGAGCAGAACGAGAAAATTATTGATCATATGCAACACATCCTGGCGAGAGTAGAGAGCATCATTAATGCCAGGTACTTAGGACAAATACCTAGGCTATCGTACCCACTGTACTCAACTGCTACGAGATGACAAAGTTGCAAATCAGCAAAACGTGTCGCAAACGTTCAGCGCTAACGACAAAACGCTGTACAAGCATTTCAATGGCTGTCGTAAGGTAAAGCAGGGAATTCCTCCGCTCCGGATGATTGATGGTCCAACTAGAACAGCTATGGAAGCAGCAAACGTGTTGCGGATGCAATTTGCTCCCACATTTCAGAGGGTCTTGCTATCATGCTATCTGCCAACCTTTGCTTTCCCGCCTCCAGGACTCACACACATCTCTTTTACTGCAGAAGCTGTATTGCAGAAGCTGACGTCTGTGCGCAACGACAGCTCCCCGAGAGTCGACATCATTCGCCCAGAGGTACTGGGAGTAGCCGCAAGACAACTGGCAAAGGTTTTGGCTCGGTTCTTTCAGTGCTGCTTAGAGGAAAACCAGATTTCTGCGGTGTGGAAGCTGGGAATAATAACTACGATCCACAAAGGCGGAAGCACCACCACCACCACCCGATGTCTCTTTTCCATGCATTGTCCAATGTCATCTAAATTATCTTTGTCGATGTGTTGGTGTGCTACCTAGAAAATAGTGACACTATTGACTCCCGAGCAACACAGCTTTCGTCGACAGCGGTCATGCATGACAAATGTATTAGTCGCACGGAGTATGTGGACCGTGTCAGTAAACATTGGGCACGCGGTTGATGTGATTTGCTTCGATTTGCCACAGGCATTTGACCGTTTGGATCGTCGGACTGTCCTTACCAAACTTCAGGGTTACGGGATCTGTGACACCCATTTGAGCTAGATCGTCAGCTTTCTCCTGCAAAGATAATTAGTTGCCAGAGTCCGGAGTTCTTATCTGACCCCATACCAGTTGCTTCTCGTGTGCCCCAGGGCTCAGTTCCAGGTCCACGATTATTTTTAGTATTAGTCAACAATCTTGCACAGAAAATTGCTTCCAATTTCCTGCTGCTTGTTGAGGATATCAAGATATGACGCCGGACTCAGATGGATGCCGATCAGAATTTACTGCACTATGACCTGGATATGGTACATGAGTGGTTAACCCGGAATCTATTACAGTTCAATTTGGAAAATGCAAGCTACTCTCTATACGACACCAGAGTACCTATTCCTACAAGCTTGGAACGAAGGTACTGCAGCGATCATCCGTCAAACGCGACCTTGGCGTGCTTGTTCAAGATAGCTTGAGTTGTTCCGAGCAGTCCGCAAAGGCATGGAAAACTGGTAACCAGCACGTCGGCTTGTTAAGACGGGCGTTCGAACAACTAGACTCCTCTATTTTCACACAGTTGCTGAATGCGTATGTTCATCCGCGTGTCGAATACGCAGTCCAAACCTGGCAGCCATGGCTGAAGCACGACCTTATTGCACTGGAGCAACTACAACTTCGGGCTTCCAAATAGGTCATTGGAATGTACCACCTTACACACGAGCAGAGGCCGAAACGTTTGGGAGTATTCAGCGGACGGAATCGCCGACTACATGGCAAGTTGATTATAGCATACTTGATTTTGGACAGCCCAAATCGTGTGTGTCGCCCTGTACTGCAACTCAGCAGTGACATAAAGCTAAGAAACCACTCCTTGTAATTGGCAGAACAGTGCAGCCATTTGGTATGCCACAGTAACTTCTTCTCCACTTCTATGTGTCAATCATGGAACATGCTGCCTGAATCGGTTGTTTCTACAGCCACGCTAGATATATTTAAAGTTGGTTGGAGGACACACTCCGCCATTTACATTTTGTTACTTAACGCCACTCTCCATCCTACTCCAGGAAAATAACTTGCATCTATATTTTTCGCCTATTGGAAGTAGGGAAAGACTCGGAGTGCAATTCAAGCTTTTGACAGTAGGACTACCAACTACAATTTTTATTAATGTTTTTCGATAACCCACCATACTACCCCAAGGCGTTTGTAAAGTATCGTTTCTTAAGCCGTATAAAATCATTGTTCATTGCTTCTAGTGCCTCTGGGCGAATGGGGTCGACACTCGGGGGGCTATACTTGCCCAGAGACGTTGGCTTTTGCGTGAAAGCTTCAGCAGTAAAAGTGATGTGAGCATGTCCTGGCTGCGAGACCAAAAGATCGATGTTTGCCTGTTGGGTAGCCCTTCTGAAATTTGGGAGCATATTGCGTCTATAACGTGGTTGCTGCTTCTATGGCCATCCTCATTCGTCCATCTGCTGCACAGAATGGCGCGCAACTCAGCCTTGCTTTATGAAGGCAATTTTCGTGGTTGTACAGCAATGTATGGCCGGAGCTGAAAATTTTATTAATGGGCTGTTGTACATGGCTTTGTCTTCTCTGACAACTTGAGTTCAGTGGTTACGATGGGCTACCTACCTGCCAAATTAGCTGGCGCTGTAAATAATCCATACGTTTGTCATATTCTGTTGCGTATTGCCATCCATTTTCGCCTTCTGCGTCTTCCGAACGAAACCGTTTAAAGGGTCATTGCAAACTCTTGTTCTTCAAGCATCAGTAAATATACGCTTGAATATCCTGACGGAATTGAGCCACATCACCTCCTGGAGGTCCTCAAGGGGGAACGACGAGTTTGTGGCACTGACAAGCTGGGCTGGGTGGTCATAGTGTGTAATGTTGCTCACCATCGCATGGTTGTTATTTCGATATTGCACATAGTATAGGAAGTTGAAACTAATGATTGCATGGTCACTGCGAC